CCTCCCAAAGTGCTGGGATTACAGGCGTGAGCCACCCCGCCCAGAAAGGTCTTACTTATACAGACAGCAAACAAAGAAATTTCGCAGGATTACATTTTCTATACAAAGCTGTTTTATGAGTTACAGGAATTTGATTAGTTACCACTCCGTTTTTTCCTTTTTCTTTCCAGTTTAAAGAATATATTTATTTTATTTTTCTTCCCCCTCATTCTTGCTGTCATCTTAAGAGTATATTTAACATTCCATCTTAGACCATGTGATAGTCATAGGTGTTTGTATAAGAGAAGGAAAGGGTTCACCTGCTTTGGGAAAAAAAAGAGAGAAGAAACAGGGAAGTGAGTCTATAATTAAGACCAACAGTAGAGGGAAGGCTTCTCTGGAGCCGTTTAGTCTTTTATAAAACAGTGTAGGTAAAGAAAAAGGCTAATCTATAACCAGAGAGGTTAAGGTTATAGCTGTCTAGGTTACAGCTGCCTTTAACATGACTGAGGTCCTGGCCGGGCGCGGTGGCGCACGCCTGTAATCCCAGCACTTTGGGAGGCCGAGGCGGGAAGATCACGAGGTCAGGCAATCGAGACCACGGTGAAACACCGTCTCTACTAAAATTACAAAAAATTAGCCAGGCGCAATGGCGGGCGCCTATAGTCCCAGCTACTCGAGAGGCTGAGGCAGGAGAATGGCGTGAAACTGGGAGGCTGAGCTTGCCGTGAGCCGAGATCGCACCACTGCACTCTAGCCTGGGCAACAGAGCGAGACTCAGTCTCAAAACAAACAAACAAATAAAAAAACATGACTCAGGTCCCGTAATCACATTCCTTTAAGACTCAAAATAATTTTTAAAGTTTCATCAGCTTTGATTGTGAATTACGTATTTTCACACTGTAGAGTGAAGATTCAAATACAGGTCAGAGAAGAATGTGTGCTCTCAGCTCTGTGCTTTATTGTTTCACTGTGTGTGTGAAATCTAGGTGAGACCCTTGAAAACAAAATTAGAATGGCCGGGCGCGGTGGCTCAAGCCTGTAATCCCAGCACTTTGGGAGGCCGAGACGGGCGGATCACGAGGTCAGGAGATCGAGACCATTCTGGTTAACACGGTGAAACCCCGTCTCTATTAAGAAATACAAAAAACTAGCCGGGCGAGGTGGCGGGCGCCTGTAGTCCCAGCTACTCGGGAGGCTGAGGCAGGAGAATCACTTGAACCCAGGAGGCGGAGGTTGCATTGAGCCTGTCTCTTATACACATCTAGATGTGTATAAGAGACAGGTAAACAAACAAGTGTTTTCATAAGTGGGGAGAAATAGGCCAGGCGCAGTGGCTCACGTTTGTAATCCCAGAACTTTGGGAGGCAGAGGCGGGTGGATCACTTGAGGTCAGGAGTTTGAGACCAGCCTGGGCAACATAGCAAGACCCTGTCTCTATAAAAAAATATAAACTGTCAGCCAGGCACGGTGGCTCACACCTGTCTCTTATACACATCTAGATGTGTATAAGAGACAGCCTATAGTCCCAGCTACTCGAGAGGCTGAGGCAGGAGAATGGCGTGAAACTGGGAGGCTGAGCTTGCCGTGAGCCGAGATCGCACCACTGCACTCTAGCACTCAAATTAAAATAGGCCAGGCGCAGTGGCTCACGTTTGTAATCCCAGAACTTTGGGAGGCAGAGGCGGGTGGATCACCTGAGGTCAGGAGTTGGAGACCAGCCCGACCAATATGGTAAAACCCTGTCTCTACTAAAAATACAGAAAAATTAGCTGGGTGTTGTGGCATGCGCCTATAGTCTCAGCTACTTGGGAGGCGGAGACAGGAGAATTGCTTGAACCCAGGAGGCAGAGTTTGCAGTGAGCTGAGATCATGCCACTGCACTCCAGCCTGGGTGACAGAGCAAGACTCTGTCTCAAAAACAAAACAAAACCAAACAAAAAACAAAAAAGAAAAGGCTATACAACAATAGTTGTCAGCACATTGTCTCTAGGGAATGTTCTGGAGTGATTGACTTGTCTGAAACTGGATAATGGGAATGGTTGTACACCTGTATACGTTTACTAGAAATTATCAAACTGTACACTTAAAACAGGTGCATTTTTTGGTACATAAAGTATACTTGATAAAGCCATTAAAGAAAAACACCTCAAGTCCAACAGCTTAAAAGTAAAAGAAGGCCGGGTGCGGTGGCTCACGCCTGTAATCCCAGCACTTTAGGAGGCCGAGGCGGGCGGATTACGAGGTCAGGAGATCGAGACCATCCTGGCTAA